TTTCTCTTTCAATTGATAAAGGAGATGTGACTGTTTTGATTGGTCCTAATGGCTCAGGAAAAAGTACTTTGTTGAATGCAATGACAGGGAGCATCAGTAGTGATAAAGGTGATCTTAAAATATTTGGTGAGAAATGCGTTTCTGGATTCAGCTCATTGCAACAACATTTAGGAATTTGTTACCAAGAAAACATTTTGTTTGAAAGATTGAATGTTTACAAGCACCTTGAATTCTTTGCAACAATAAGAGGCGTCGAAAATACTAAACTGAAAGAAGTTATTGATCATAGCTTGAGTAACTTCCGATTAGAAGGACTCGAAAACATGAAAGCAGCAACATTGAGTGGCGGCCAAAAGAGAAAACTTTGTACTGCAATCGCTTTCATTGGAAATCCAAAGCTGGTCATTTTGGATGAGCCAACAGCTTGAATGGATGCAAGCATTAGACAGGAAATATGGAAAGCAATTTCAGGTTACAATATCACATCAATTGTAAGTACTCATTCTATTGAAGAAGCAGGAATTCTTTCCAGCAGAATGCTTGTGATGAGAAGTGGAGAATTGATCTTCGAAGGAACTCCAAATGAATTGAGAAGTAAGTTCCATTGCGGATACAGATTAACTCCAATGTTTAATAATGAAGAAGACAAGAAATACAAAAATGAGTTGCTTGATTGGATGAAATCAAAGATTCAAGGAGCATACATCATGTCCAATATATCATGAAGATACATTTTGTTCTGTTTGTGTGATGATAGTTACAAAGCTTTATTGATTGAGGCAAAATCAGGATAATTTCCACATGAGATCATTCAACATATTGTTGAGCAGCTCGAAAATGTGCTTTACAGAATGTATGTGGATGATGAAAACGTGTGATCTTGCACTTTTTAACTTAAGTGAGAAGTAAACCAAAATATTTTGATTATTTTTTTCATTCTTTCATTTCACTATATAAGAGTGAGAATTCTTAAGCTCATAAACTAAAATAAATATGTTCATCCAATATCTCTTGTTTTTCGCTTTGATGATTGATTTATGATCATGATTATTTTATTTGAGAAAAAGGAGGAATGAATCAACAAATATAAAAAAAAAAAAAAAAAAAAAAAAAAAAGGTAGTGGGGCTTCCAGGGCTGCGCCCCTCTAGCCCCTGAAGATGTTTTAGTATAATGAAGTTCTTATATACGGGTCTTCCAGGAGCTTTTCACAAAATATATATTGTTTTCATGTTTTGTCACTTTTCTGTCACTTTTCAGGAAAAAACATTTTTATTATATATATAAAATGAATTTACAAACCACCGTTACCTTCTTTGGAAAAGAGTAGATGTAAAGATATTCTATTGAGAACTTAAGAAACTACCGAATGGTCTAACATTTGTAGACTTGTTCGGTGGAAGTTTCTATATATCTCATTTGTGCCATACAATATTTCCTGACTCAAAGATTATATGCAATGACTTCGACAACTATATGAACCGTCTCAAATATTCCAGACACAAATATATTGAAAGAGTTAAAAGAAAAGATACCTATAGTGTAATGTGGACGTTACCAGTTATGAAAGACAAATACTCGGTCAGAGAGTTTTCTGAAACAGGCAGAAAGATACGTTTGCGGTTGTCTTAGTATACTGCTTGTCCTGCCTATTATGTGTAGGTGGGCTTATATTCATTTGAGTCATTTGTAGCACACTTATGTCACCAAAGTGTTTATATCTTAACTATACAAAATGGTGTTTGTTAAAGAAAGCATGTTAGAAAAATGATATTGAGGGTAATAGAGTTTGGGTAGTTCATGAGATGTTTAAAGCATATGGACAGAGTTTGACAAATGTGGTTGAAGTGAAATATGTTTGTCTTTTGCCGCTTCTACTAACACTTGGGTTTTCCTCCACTACTTCTAGTAGATGATTTCGGCGAGCAGACTTTGTTAGCATAACTTTTATTGATCGTTTGTTTACATAACGCAGTCGCCATCGTTTTGACGTTTTACATCCGATAAAAGTGGTTTGGAAACCGTGTATGTGAATGGTTAGAGGACATACATGACTATTGAGTTTAGATACGTAAGATTAGAATATGAGAGTGGTCCTATAACGTGAGAAAGTGTCAAACAAAGAATTTTACTTATAATAATGTGGTTTGAAAATAGGACTACTTGTTTTTAGGTTTTTTCCATTGTGTCAATTTACTTATTTGACGTGGCAGAAAGATATAGAGAATTTGAGATTTGAACAATGCTGCAAATGTCCACGTATTTGTAGCTCGTAAGAGTATTTTTATCTAATATTAAATGGACGCAGCAGAACTTAGCGAATGCACAGCAACCTGACCAGAAACCAGAGAAATTCCAAATGAAGTTAGAATACACTGCATGGCAAACTATGGTCAGAGTGCCAACAGATGTACAAATGCAAACTGCCGCTAATGTCAAATGACGCTTGCGTTAGGTTTGGCCACCATGGTATGCAAATATGAGCATACCGGTTGACGTTATGTTTGTAGTGGGTAGGCGCAAGATCACCTTGACAGCAGTTGGGGGAATATCCACGGCACCAACGTTAGTTCTCGGGTGGTGGTTCTTGATCGTCAGATACACAGAAGGTTGACGCGCAGCGAGTGTGTCGGTTGGGTTCTTACCCAGGAGGGAGAAAGTTAGGATATTATGCAGCCTCATGTTAGAATTGTGGCACGTGACATACTGAGAGTGGCTCAGTTAGATCGTTGAAGAGATCTTAGGCAGGCGTGCTTACATGTTCAGATTGTTTACATAGTTATGGGCGTCGGCTCAAGAAGGATCTTGGGTCTTTGGTTGCTCATTTGGAGTTATTAATAGATAATTTGCGGGTGTGGTGTTCTGTATTATATGGTTTGCGATTATTGTAGGTTTGAGTGGAGGCATCGGGAAGAAATAGAACCGTAGGAAGGAGGAAGTTGTTGTAACCGAGTCAAAAAGGATAGTTGGTAAAAGAGTCAGGTTCGGGTTTCGTTGTATTAGTATGCACTGAAACGCACTGCAATTCAGAGCATCAGTCTCCCTGTCTATGACATCCTCATCGTGACATGCGACCACCAGCGTCTACACGCTTGGCTACGAGATTGGCGTCCTCAACACCTTGGGTTGCGCTCATTCAATGAATCATGATGGTGGTTTCTGGTATATTTCTGTCTTCGGCACGGTTAGTCTGAAGTATGTGTGTTAGGGTCACTCGGTGGCTTGCTATTAGTTACGATTACGCTTGCTAGGTGAGTGAATTACGGCATGGTATATTTGGATGTTAGACTATCGTGTGTTCTGTGTGTCGTGTGCTTTATTGTTGTTCTGTTAAACTTGCGTCTACTATACCATGTGGGAGATTTCAGTTGTCTGAAGATTCTAATCTTCCACCTTGTGCTTTGAGTGTGGGTATGTTGTCTTGTGTTCAGGGTGTTTGTTTGCGTGTCATTTTAGTTCACTGGTGGATTGGCTAAGCATTAAGGAGAAGGAGTTCTGTTGGTGCACTTGGGTTCAGGAAAATCGGAAGGCTTTATCCGAATGTTGATAATATGGTGGCTTCTGAGTTTCGGATAAACTACCTTGTTTCATACGTTTGATTTGTCGGGTGTTTTTCCTCTGACTTCATTTTTATAAGCTCGTGCCGGCGCGTTGTGCCACGTTGGAGGTATTCTTTCGCTCGGCTTGATTTTAACATCCGTCTCTAAAAATCTATAGCTCCTTAGTTCAAGTTGTTATCACCTGGTTGATAATATGTAATACGTTCTTCTCTTCAAGGTCCTTCCTATTCTATTGATCTTTAGGCAGCGAGTGTGGCTATTTTTTGCCTGGGCGGTCACTATATATGGCCTTGAGGAATTTTTTGTTGTCAACGTGCGCGGTCTCGTGCCTCGTCGCAAACGTGTTGTATTCCTTTTGCGTTTTTGGATATTCGAGATGAGATATCGTTTATTTACTCGTGGTCGAAAAGCTTGTGAAGTATTTCTGCTGTTGGTTAATTTACAAGAAATTCACTTGTAAAAGGTTTTGGCGCACCTGGTTTGAAATGGTGTTCTCAGTACTGTATTGTTTTTTTTTGCCTGTTGTTTAGTAGGTCAAAGTTCGCGAATTTTTGCGGGAGGAGAGGCGACCGGCGGGTAATGGGAAAAACTGTATGGTGTCTTTTTCTGAACTCGCACTTTATTCGGTTTTATTAGCCAACGGAGGGTGCGTGTTTGCTTGTTGAACGTTTCGTATAGGGCGGCCTTCGTTAGTCCTTTGGCCTTTGTTGGGCCATCTTAGTGGGTAGTCAAAAGATAGCCTTCATGCTTTACGGTCTCTGTCTCAACTTTTGACCGACATTAGTAAAAAGTTCATCTAATGGTTTAGTTGTAGCAACTCTTGAATTTTTCTTTTTCTCTATTGAAGCATATTTTATCTAGAATAATATGTCGAAGAACGTTCTATGAGAGAAATACAACACAACCGACAACTCATTGTGCAAGCTCTAAATAAGACACAAACAACTTTTCAAACTATTCTAAGATATCTGAGTCATTGAAAGAAGGAAACTTAAAACTGACGATAAACCCATGACAGAGAGTTTCTGTTTCAAGACAGTAAGACCACCACTGCTGTCTGTGTGAAAATCCAACAAAAGGAACTTTAAAGAGAACACTATAGATTGAACTTCTTTTGTGAAGGCAGATATTGACAACAGAGCTGACAAAGAGTATGTAGATGCAACAAGAGACTGTATTCTCGCATGGACAGATAGAACATACCCAAAACTCAGGTGGACACAGGTAACATGGGTTAACTCAGTACTCGTATGCCTGGATCGGTTGTCTAAACCTCGCAAGTTCGCTTGAGAGTGACATAATGCGGATTAAAACAGGTAATGTTGACAATAAGGACAACTGTTCGGAAAGTGAATGACAGAGGTGACAAGTTTTAACTTAGTGTTATTCTAAGTACCTGCTATTATCACATCGTATTGCATAAGGTGTGATCAAAAATTAAAGTAAGCGCTTTAGGAGGAGCCAGGAAAAGTGAGGCGGTGGTGTTGGCGTGTTGTACTATATCAGGCGTAGGGACCCGGTTTTTAGCACTTCCTCTGCAAGTGTGTTGGTGATAAGGATGAGGAATTGTGATATTTAGAGGGTTGAAGATAACGGGGGATTATTATAATGGATATCCTCTATACTTTCACAAGGTTTAACATCGGATGAGAACATAACACGATGAGTATACATTAGAGGTTGGTGACTGGGTGTGATGTCATGGACGGAGGTAACCAGGAAGTGGAGGAACCTTGGGCGCATTCTGGTCTCGCCGATTTATAGTGGCAACTCAAGAAAATGAAAGAAGAGCTTCCTTAACGCGGTTATAAAATTATTATATTAGAAACTTTCCTTGATACAGTATCACCTATTTGTGTGTCATATTGGGTTTCTTGAATATAGTGTATATATATAAGTTATAGAGTGAAGCCTCTGTTTTGCGATGGTAGCGACCCTCTAGATATTTCGGAGGTTGTCTGTTTGTAATTCCGTGCCTTAACTCTTCCAAATAGGACAACAGGTGCAATAAACGAGTTTCGGTGAAACCTTAAAAATAGACCATAAAGTCCATACGATAGAATTCTAAGCTAATTCTCAGAAGGATAATGACAGACACATAATACCAGATCTGATTGGTCCATGTTAAATAGAAGGGATTTGGTCAGAATGAAAGGTAAAGGATATCGGCATGTTAACAATAACCGAAGACGTAAAAATGGTTGAAAAAAAGACTAGGGGTGACGGGCGCGGTTCAGTAAATAAGATATTCGCCGACTGATACTCTGAAACGGCAGCCTTTGCTAAAAATTTGGTTTTGCCGCGTGTTCTCCCTTCTACGGGGTGACAAACACATCCCAGCGAGAATCGGAAACAATACAACATGCGTCAGGGTAATCGCAAACACAGGGAACAAAGTAAATGAATACTGCCAACCTTACTGACAGTTTTACGCATGGGATAAGAATTGCTTAGCTCGTCATTTCACTTCTTTAGCTATTGTCAGAGTTGTCTTATATTTAGTTACGCGACGGCTGGTAGTCTTTGAAAGTAACGACCAAACCTTGAACTTAAACAAGTTTGAAACGCCGGTCTGAATAAAGTAAGTTTTAATTTTCTGTCATATTCTCTATATCTTTCTGCCACGTCAAATAAGTAAATGACACAATGGAAAAAACCTAAAACAAGTAGTCCTATTTCAAACCACATTTACTTACCAATAAAATTTCTTTGTTATGACACTTTCTCCGGTTTATAGGACCTCTCTCATATTCTATCTTGTCATATCTAAACTCATAGTCATGTATGTCCTCTAACCATCTCATAACGGTTTCCAAACCACTTTTATCGGATGTAAAGTAAAAGCATGGATGGTTATGTAAAACGTCTAAAGTTTCTAAAGAGTCTCTCAAAGTCCAGTCTACTTGGTATTGAAAATCCCATGTGTTATAGAACGGCGGGTCCACTATAAAGAAAACATTTTCCTTGTCTTTATATTTTTCATACAAATCTGTCCAATGACATCTCACAAACTCTATACCCTCAATATATTTATCTATGTCCTCTTTGAAAACATTTGTATAGTTAAGATATAAAACTTTTGACATAAGTGTTTCAATGTCATGAACTCTTATAGCACCACTATATAATAGTCTAGCAGATATACTATCCCAGTCTATATATTCTGCTTTTTTCAAAACCTCTCTCACAATATTTTTGTTATCTAATGGTATACGTTCCATCTTACCTATAGGTATCTTTTCTTTTAACTCTTTCAATATTTTGTTTGTGTCTGGTATATGTTTGAGACGGTCCATATAGTTGTCGAAGTCATTGCATATAATCTTTGAGTCTGGGAATATTGTATGGCACAAATGGGATATATAGAAACTTCCACCGAACAAATCTACAAATGTTAGACCATTCGGTAGTTTCTTAAGTTCTCTCAATAGAATATCTTTACATCTACTCTTATTTCCAAAGAAGGGTAACGGTGGTTTTGTAAAATTCATTTTATATACAATAAAAATGTTTTTTCCTGAAAAGTGACAGAAAAGTGACAAAACATGTACGAAGAAGTCTTGAAAATTCAAGAGGGTAGAAAAGAGGTTAGAAAAGAGGTTATATCTAACCTTCTACCCTAAACATTATTTTTGTCTGATTTTACGAAGAAGTCTTGACAAAACATGAAAACATATATAATTTGTGAAAAGCTCCTGGAAGACCCGTATATAAAAACTTCATTTATACTAAACATCTTCGGGGCTAGAGGGCACGAAGTGCCTGGAAGCCCCACTACCTTTTTTTTTTTTTTTTTTTTTATGTGATTTTTCAAATTTGAAATAACGATAGCATGTAAACCGACTTTTTCAAATAGACCATGTCTTCCGATCCAAAGAAACGTGTTGCTCTTGCAGCCCAAAGACCAGAAAATCAGAGATGTGCTGACTGCGGCTGCAAACTCCTCACATCATCAATTTGGGCATCTTCAACCCTCGGCATTTTCATCTGCATTAACTGCAGTGGACGCCACAGAAACCTTGGTACCCACATTACATTTGTTCGCAGTGTCAACTTGGACTCATGGACAGATGAACAAGCAACTGTTATGGAATCTATTGGAAATGAAATCTCAAATCAGTACTGGGAAGCTAACTTACCAGCTGACTATCCACGTCCAGCTACAGAGGACTTAGAAGGCCTCACAAAATTCATTCGCCTGAAATACGAGCTTGGCAAATGGGCCGATAAATCTCGTGAACCTCCGAATGTCTTGCTCAAAAAAGGCAAAAGCGTTAAGAAAGCCAGAATCATCCAGTCTGGCTCTGCACAGCCTGTTTCTGCTAATTCTAATCCTCAGCCACAGCAAGTACAAAGATCTCAGTCAACAAATACATTCAACTTTAACCAGCCAGCTCAGCAGAGCATGACAACATCAAATTCAGTCGACATGCTCTTTGGTCCTCCAGAACCAGCACCAGTTGCCCAACCATTCGGTCAGCCACAGCAGCAGCGCCAGATGAATTCTTCACCTGGCTTCAATCCATTCATGCAAGGATTCCCAGCTGCTCAGCCTCAGCCAACTCCTGTTGCTCAACAGAATCCGTTTGTTTTCGGAAAGCCAATGGCTCCAAATGCCTTCGCTCCACAGCCACAACAGCCTCAGCAGAATCAAACAGGAAACGCTAGAGCTGAACTTCAAAGCATGCTTTCCCAGAGTATGGGAACTTACGCTCCTCCAACATCTACAAACGTTTTCAGACAAGGAAACCCACAGCAGCCACAGTCCGCAGCTAGAAATATGTTTAATTCACCTCCTCAGGGTTCTTTCTCTTCCAACCAACCAATGCGTGGTCCAGGTCAGAACAGATCAAAGGATGCATTCTCTGGAATATCTCCATTTTAAGTTATTTACCTTTTTACTATCGATAATTATATTTTTTTTGTCAGCGATGCATATGTAGAAATAATCGCCTCTTTATAAATCCTCTTTTTTAAAAATAGGTTATAAATTTCTTTTATAGTACTTCTTAACATTAATTATTACGAATCAAAAAAGTTGTAACAAACAAATTTTTATGAAATAAGAGATTTTCTTTCAAATCAGCTGAAATTAGTCTACATATAAATCAAATGAACTATACTTTAGAAAAGCACATGATTCATGGAATAAATATACAATGAGTAGGATATATATTTTGTAAGTTTCTAATATCACTATTAATAGATAATCTTTATTAATGTATTGAATATCTATTAATGAATTGTATAAGCAGTAATATATTAAAAGAGCCAATGATCTATCATTAAGGATATCTGTAGATTGAGACTAATTTTGTTTAATTGGCTCTTTATAGATCTTTTTAAGTTCTTTTATGCATTAGTATCATAGTGGTAAAACAAGTTTAATTTTATATTTAGAAGAAATAAAAATTATTTCCAAAAGAGAATCATTCAATTCTTTCAGTTATAGCATTAGCATCCAATCAGTATATTATATCTATTATAATTTTTCTAAAATAGGGGGATTTGGAAAAACGGTTTGGTACGGTTATGGCCGCCCTTTTCACACAATGTCTCTCAAGCAATATCTTGTCATCGGCCGCCCATACCCAACAAAGGAAATCGCCAACCCACCAGCAGTTCGTGTTCAGGTTTTTGCTCCAGATGAGGTCATTGCCAAATCTAAATTCTGGACAGTTGCTCAGCGCATCGCCCGTCTGAAGAAGGCTCACGGTGAAGTTCTCGCCGTCAAGCACGTTATCGAACCAGAGCCAACACGTGTAAAGAACTACGGCATCTGGCTCTCATACCGCTCAACACGCAACCACCACAACGTTTACAAAGAGTACCGTGATACAACAACAGAAGGCGCCGTTACAAAGATGTTAGCTGAACTTGCTGGCACACACGACACAACAGCAGACAACATCTCTATCATCAAGGTCGCTGAGGTTGCTGATAAGGATCTCGTCCACAAGAACATTTCTCAGTTCACACACGAGAACATTAAGTTCCCAATCCTCAAGCAATCCATCCGTGCCCCAACAGCCGCTGCCAGAAAGGTCTTTTCAGGTGTCCGCCCAACAGTTTGCGGCTTCTAAAGAGCTAAGAATACTTATTTTAGATTTAAATTATTTTTTCAAATATTCTACAAAAAAATACCAAAAAAATTAATTCATCTCAAAAAAACTCTTTGAAATTTAACTCAACCAATATATTTCATATATGACTTACCAAAGTTATGTCTGTTGCTTTATCTTTCTGAACAAAATTTTTAATTTTTTTGATTTTGAGAAATATTTCATTTTGTTTTCCAAAAGGAATATGTTTCCAGTCTGTCTTAAAATCGAACTAATTCAATATATCATATTATATGAAAAATATCAAATTTTAACAAATTCCTATACATTTATAAATATTCATGAGGAGATTAACTTTGGTTTACTACACATGAAAAGGAATTTGTTTCAGAATTAAAAAAACAAACAAAAAATTTTATATAAAACAAAAAAGAGAAATAAAAGATATAAAATTAAGCAACAAGGAATAGATCTATTGATGTTCCGCTGCTAGACAAGTAGTTTGCAATCAATGTTGTGTTCGGAATTCTCAAGTTTGGTATGTGAGCAGTTGCAAACGCAGTTGCATCGATTCTGAATATGTCGAATGCCTGTTCCACGAATTGGAGGTCCAGAGTGTCAGGAAGGAAGTCGCATTGTGTGCAAGCGTAATTTCCAAGATACATCACTTGTTTTTCGCCGCGAGCGAACACAACTGATGTGAATACATTTGACTTGTACTTCTTGGATATTGTTTTGACCGCTTCTCTGATTTTGAGAGAGAAATCAGCACAATTTGTAATGAAAGTCCATCTTCCTTGGATTTGTACATCGGGGTTCGTCATAAATAGAATTGTGTCATCTCTGACGTGGACCCTCATGAAAAGTTGTCCTGATTCGCAAATTTCGTCGCATTGTTCAATTACAGCTTTGTAAAACGATTCCACGAACTGCGGCTCGACCTTTGCGCTCCAGCTAGAGATATTCGTAAGTCTAACCAGCACAACTAAGAAAGGAGCCGCGTTAATTTGGATAATATGTGGAAAATCTTTATCTGGGCTGATTACGGATGGGAATAATTTGGAGAACGGACTAATATTCTTGTCTCCGCCAGAATTAATGAACGGAGAGAGAACAGATGGCAATCTGAAAACGGCAAAGCTCTTTAGAGTCGTCATCGTTGCTCCGCAGTAAGATGGGATGACGTAGATGTAGGATCCATCCTGGCTTTTGATCTGCTGTGGCTCGCTGGACGGGAATTGTTTTAATTTTTCAATTGTCCGCATGATTTCGGATCCAGTGACGATACCAAATGGTTGGCCGTCAAATTTGGAGCCATTTGTGATTCCCATTTCTTGGTTTGCGAGGTTTGTTGAGAATGTAACTGTAAAATCGGAATTTGCCTCAACAAACAAGAAAGGAAGCGATGCATTATTAACAGGGACTATGGAAGAAAGGGATTCCTGCTCTCCAGCGAAATCTGTGAACACGGATAACAAATTAATTCTTTCTCCACGGGAAGCGTCCATTTGGCGACCAGTATTAACCTGTATATGGATAATAATGATGAAAGAGAATATAGTCAGAAGCAGAACAACCATCCATGTGATGTAATAAATATTCGAAACATTATAAAAAGGATCTTGAAGAGTCCTGAGGTTGATAAATGTTTGGTTGATCTCAGTGATTGGATAAACATCATTCATGGTCGGATCTTTCAACGTATAACCCGTAATGAAGGAAACTATGTCAGTTGTGAGCAAAGCAGCATAAGAAGCAGCTTCTGAGTCTCTTAATAATATGTCCATGTGGTGGTCGCTGTTGGAAATCATCTGCGGGAATTGCGGAGAGCTTGGAGATGTCGAATTTTGGAAAACAACGGCGCTGAGCCACAACATGATCATGTCCATGCGCTCAAAGTACACGTAGCTCTTAGTTCTGAAGTTGTAGTCCGAAAGAGTCCGCCCGTAAACGACAAATCCGGCTGTGAAGAAAATAATGAAAGCTGCGAGGGTCAGGAAGAAACCGACGACGATATCGGTTGAGGCCGACCACTCAATGATCGATTCTCGGCCAGGAATTACTGATCTTTGGATGGATTTCGTATCTAAGCCCGCAAACTCTTCAATCTTCTTCTTGGAGAAGGTCTTGAACACCTCGAACGTTCTGTGAAGGTGCCTGGCGTAGATGTAAAGAGCAAATACAAAGAATATCACAAATATGACGAAAGAAAGGAAATAAAGGACAAACCATGACAGGATGGGTATGGAGATGCGATTGGTAAACGCGGTATCGAAGAAATCGTAATAATCCATCAAGGATTTATCCAAATCGTAAAAAATCGAATTATTAAGGAGAAGAGAGTTCACAGCGCCCGTCTGATTGGATAACAAGGTCAAATTCATGTAAGTATCGATCAATTGACCAAGAGTTGTGTTACTAATTTCGTAATTCATGAATTTGTACAATCCGCCGCTTTTTACCTTCTTAAATTGGTCGACAAGGTAAAGAGTGTTGGTGTAGTACTTCGATAAGCGTGGAACTGACTCAGGAGTGTACAATTCGCTCTGCATCAAGGTAAAATTCTCCATAAACTGCTGGAATTCGAAGAAATCAGTTCGATTCTTTCCAGACAATGTATAACAATACAGAAGAAACACTAAAAGTGAAAGGGAAGCCAAAAATATAATAACAACAATCGTATTAAAAACAGAGTGAGTCACGGAACGCTGGTACGTTGGCTCTATGTTCTCATCGCATACGAATGATGGTATAACTTTAGACTGGTATTTGGAATATTCGTATAATCTGAATTTTAAGCGTCCAATTTCACCAGAGATCTCTGGAAGTGACTCGAAGTCTGACAGCCATAGCGATGCCCAAAAATCTTTCTCTTTCTTCTCGATTTTCTTCGTATATTTCTGTATAACTTCCATAACTTGGGGAAAAGATTCGATTGTGAGAGCTCCGATCCTGGAATCGAAGGAGTTTATGAATATCCTGCCTTCTGCTGTTCCGATGGCCCGTTTTCGGATTTCTTCGTTGACATAATGTTGAGTTTGGTCATCCAACGAATAATAGCCTCTCGCGAGCACCATGAGCTGCACGAAATTAAGTTTCTCGATTTCGTCTCTCGGAACTGAAGCTTTTGACTTACGAAATCTATGCAAGCCGAATAATCTTCCAAGATCTCCATGGGAGTGCTCGTAACATAACCTGCAGCAGTACATAATGGCTGTTATGACCACAGCAATCGCAAAAATGATGATTACGCCAAGAGGAGTTGCATATTTCGTAAAAGCACGGACAATGGCACATCCTGTGCAGAAGAAAATGTAGAAGCATGAAAGAATAGACACAAGTTTCGTTTGGTAAGGCAAAACAATGAAGATATAAATATCAACAGCAACAAAGACAATTGTAAGGATAACTAGTAGTATATTGTTGGGGTTTTCGAGGAAGCTGACTGTATGCTGAACGATAAGTATGAAAAAGTTCGTAATTAAGGCAGAAAAAGTATCCCTAAGGAAATAAATATGAGTAACGCGATATGCTGAGCTAGAATTCATGAGAGAGCCAAGGACAGCATAAAGCAAGATTGTTAATTCGCCAATTAAAGCTGCATAAAAAGAATATGAATTTTCTGAAACAGATAAGTAAGCCATTGATGCAGTAAAGGCCTTTCCGAAGATAGGAACAATAAATGGCAAAATGTAGAATGAAAGAATGCTATAAGTTCGTTTTATTGTCGATGAAGGTAAAGCTGTTGTTAAAAGTACAATAATGATAAACAGATAAAGAACAAATATGAATGCACCAATCAAAAAGTAAAACCAGACAATAACTATGACTTCATCTGTGTTTGGGTACGTTGGAGAGCCTGTAAAGATGATATAGATGATGTAAATGCCTGTGGACTTATCGCCTTTGAAGTATGTCATGAGTGTTGGGAAAATTGTCGTAAACATATAGATTAAAAACAAAATTATTGTAAAAATAACGTTAAATACTGGTCGACGGTGAATGAATAGATGAGACTCGTTTAAAACAGCAAATAAGGAATCAAATTTAAATCCTACTGAAATTTGACTCAGTTTTTCTGATTTTTCATCCATAAATTTTCTAAAAAAGTGACAAATTTCATGAGGTTTACAGAATGTTTGATTACGGAATGGATTAATCAAATATTGGACTGCTCTTCTCTCAAAAAATCCATATAACAATTGTTTCCACACTAAAATTTGTTATCAACTAAATATTTCTAGAAATTTATCATTTATATCAATGATTAATAGCAGTACTATACCATAAATGTCTGTCCTCCTCCTTCCAGACAACTTGATGAACCCAGAAAACAATTTTTACTTAAAATTATCAATACATCTGAATATTTCCATATTTTTGCTATTGAAATTTGAATCAAATGTTCACTTAAAAAACATAATCCTTATGTATTGGCTTTTCTCAAAACTTTTATAAACTTTCATTGAATTCTTTAGCTTTTTGAGATCCTATTAAGCTCACAGGCTTGTGTGAAAACATTTAAAAAAAAAAAAAAAAAAAAAAAAAAGGGAGTGGGGCTTCCAGGCACTTCGTGCCCTCTAGCCCCTAAGAAACTAGAGGAGGAATGAGACAAAGACCAGATGAAAAAAATAAAATATTATAATAAAATTAAATTTTTAGTCTTAAATTGTTTTTTTATTCGGTATATTCTGAATCTTGAATGTCTTGGAAATTTTCTTCTTCTTCGCTCTCTGAGGTGAGGATTTCTTCGACTTCTTCTTCTTCGCCATTGGGATCAACAAATCCTGCAATGAAAACTTTGTATATACCTTCTTGAGGAGTCTCTATGATGAAAGTCGTATTGTTGAGGAAATGGAACTCGACATCTTGAACAAATTGGCAACTGCTGTGTGTGAATTTTGCAATTGTGAGAGGCTTTCCTTTATAGCCCTTGGGAAAGCTTGAGATAGTTACTGTTCCTCCATATGGAACTCTGGCAGGAATATCTAAAGCAACAGTTGTTATAACGTGGAAATTGTCTACGAATTGAGGCATAGGTTCAATGCAGTATAGTCGTTTTGACTGGTTGTCTTTTGTGTAGAAATATAAATAGAATGACCTTTCACCATGTTCATTCAATTCTTCCAAATAATTGTATGAATTTGGATATAAACGGACAAATTCAGCAACTTTAACTTCTTGTAAATGCTTCTGCAAGTTCTTTGGAAACAAGTGAATGAACTGGTCAATAGCTTGCAACGCTATGAGATTGGCAGTAACGGGTAAATATGAAGCAAACATGTCAACAAGTACGCCAGGGTCTTTGATTTCGTTTTCAAGAGGCTGAATGGCATCCATGACAGCTTGAAACATCTCGTTATAATCTCGATTGTCTTCTGAACCCCACTGTTCATTTAACTTATCTAACAATTCTAACCTTTGCTTTGCGTATTTTCTACGAACTTTCTCTGAAAGAGGAGTGTCGCTATCTTGTGTGTCTTGAATTTGAGACTTAAATTGTTTGCAAAAGGCGAGATATCGTGTTTGCGACCTAGTGGTCATTGCAGAATGTGTTTCTGTATGTTCGATTGGATGTGTTTCTGTATTTTCGGGTGGTTGTGTTTCTGTATGTTCGATTGGAGTCTGATTGGTATGAACTTCTTCTGAAAATGCTTCTGTTCCGATAGTTGTTGTTGCTTGACCTGTTGGCTGAGCTGTATCTGTTGTGTTTTGAGAAGAAGAACTCAAATTGTTGGACAATTTGTTTGCAATTGTATGAGGAAGTTGCTTTGGTATTATAGGAGGTCGTAAGGGTTTTGAGAATGGTGAGACATAAGTTGTAGGAACTTTAACTGCAGAGGTAGTCGACGAATTGTTTGCAATTGTATGAGGAAGTTGCTTTGGTATTATAGGAGGTTGTAAGGGTTTTGAGAATGGTGAGACATAAGTTGTAGGAACTTTAACTGCAGAGGTAGTCGACGAATTGTTTGCAATTGTATGAGGAAGTTGCTTTGGTATTATAGGAGGTTGTAAGGGTTTTGAGAATGGTGAGACATAAGTTGTAGGAACTTTAACTGCAGAGGTAGTCGACGAATTGTTTGCGACACTTTTTCTTCCTTCCATTAGACAAAAATAAACTGTTTTTTTCGGACTACTCATAGAAAAGTTTAAAATAAACCGTTTTCGTCAACGGAGACCCCCTCTATTTTTTTATTTTATTTAATAGTTACCGTTGGAAAACCGTTCCATCTCAAATATTGAATGAACTATAAACGTTTTTTGTTTTCTATATATACTTTTTTGTCCAACGGTAAAACTTTTTACACAACGGTTTTTGAGAGTCGTCGCTGTTGACCGAGTAGTTTTTTGTGCTGAACAAAAAGTGTCATATAAACATCTGTCAAAAACCGCTTTTTAACTTCACTTAAAATGCCACGTAAGCTACGTAAGAATATACGTAAGAGGAAGAGAGCATTGAAACATCCAATAGTAAAACTGACACCACAACAACAGTTGCAACAACAAATGCTGAATGACCCCACTATGTTGCAACAAATGTCAAGCAACCCTATGCTTTTAAACCGAGTTATTGGTGCACAGAGTGGAGGTTTAAGAGCGGCACTTTTAGCGAAAATGGCAGGCTATGGTGGAGCTGCAGACGGAACAGCTTATAACCCTCAAAGTCAAATGAATTTGAGTTCACTCAAAAATCAAATAACAGATGTCAAAAAGTCAAACATAGACATACAGAAACAAATAAGTGAAAACGAAAAGAAACTAGAATATGACAGACACACAAAGAAACTCAATGAGTTAAACGTAGAGAAAAAGAAGAAAGAAGAACAACTGAAAGAACTAAGTACAGAGGAATATGCGAAAAAAGTGTCAGAAAAAGCAGCAGAAGAAGTAGCAAAAATGGAACAAGATGTCATAAATTTGAAAAACCATACTACTCAATATAAAACTGAAAGATGAAGAAATAAAACAAAAAGCCCTGAAGACATATATGGATAGCGATGAGTATAAAAAAGAAGTTGAAGCAAATGTAAAGGCAGAAAAACTTTTACAGTTGCAAAACCAAACCGTACAGTATGAAAACTTAGCACAAGAAAGTAAAAATAACGACGCGGCTATGCAAAAGGCAATGAAAAGCGCAGAATATATAAAAGCTAACAATGACTGGTTAGATGCCCAAGCCAACGCTAAAGCAGCCCAACTCATAGGGTCAATAAGGACAAAAATACAAGCGGATGAAGACAGTTCAAATGAAGCTTTAACAAATGCTGACTTTAAGAACGCCTTCGAAGCTCTTCATAGTAAGGTGAAACTAGTGAACGACTTCTCATCTGGAAAGAAACTGAAGTCTGAAGGTTTCGACAAAGAGTTAAAAGAAGTAGCACAAAATATGACGAAAATAACAGATGCAGCAACGAGACAGGCAGTTCAAAGTGCCTATGACGCCGTTAGAGCAACTGTTGTGGAAAGTCAAGAAAAAGAGTTACAACAGACCAAAACAGACCTAGTAAATGCTTTCTTAAGAACGAAAAGTCAGGTAGGACATTACGCTGCAGATGGAACATATGTGCCAGCTGGTGGAACTTATATACCAGCTGGTGGAACTTATATACTAGCTAGTGGAACTTATATACCACCAAACCCTCCAAGAGAAGCACCTGCACCAGGACTACCTAGAACATTTACATCGTCACATGGACACAGACACAGGCATGCACAACAACCAGCACAACAACCACCTCCACAACCAACAGTTCAAAACACTGCACAACAACCAACACAACAACCAGCACAGCAACCAACAGTTCAAAACCCTGCACCACAACCAACAGTTCAAAACACTGCACCACAACCAACAGTTCAAAACACTGCACCACAACCACAAACAGAGCAAGGACATAAAAGAAGTAGAGAACAAGGAAACCAAGAATTCTTAAAAATGCTAAAGGAAAAATATGGTTACCCAGATACTATTGACTTTAGTGACAGATATAAAGAAGCTATTAGAAAGTTCAAGGAAGAAAATACTGACCCGAACCTATTTAGCTTTATGGCTCAGCATAAAATCGGATATAATTTCAAACCTGGAAAATACAAGCTCGCTAAGGGATATGATTTAATAGCATATCGTCCAAATGACATGACTGAATTTACTCCGAGATATTTTATGTCAGAGATAAATGATGATTCAACTATCTTCATGAAACGCGTAAAAAATAGAGACGGAACGAAAGAAGAAAGGCTTATGAATGCAGATGACTTAAATAGGGAACTTGTTAAAAACGGTCTCGGAATATATGAAATGCCAGCAGATGAGGTACAAGAAACTCCACAGGAAGAAGTTCAGATACAACCAGACATGGAAGAAATAGTTCAGCAACAACAGCTAGAAGAGCCTGAAGGAAACGAACAAGTCCTTCCTTTGGAAACTAACTTCACAGAACTAGATGAAGATTTGGAACAGCCGAAAAATCTTGACCCTCAACAAGAGTATGCGGAGAATATGGAATATTTCCAAGAGTCTAAAAAAAATTCGGCTGACATAGTAGAAGAATATCGAAAAATGTTTGCCGACATACAAAAGACTCCAACATCAGATGAAAATATCCAGCATAGAATGGAAGAACTGAAAAAAAATGTACACAAATACAACAACCCTTTTTACTTACGAGCATTTAACGTTCAATCTTCGGATGAACTCGGTGAAAATAAAAGGTTAAATTTCAAGAAAACATATAGAAATGAAACATTGTTTAAAGTTCATTCAGAACCTAACCAAGATGGAAACAAACCTACTTTTGTTTCTGCAGACGATGGAACTACAATGAGATGGGGTCATAAAGCTAATCCAGATAGGTGGTTCATAAACTTACAACCACAATTCCAAGAAGTTGTAGACGCAATGGAAGTCAATGGTGAACGAGATATAGCTGGTATTTTAAGCGCGGCTTTAATGCCATTGAAAGATATGAAACATGCAGATATTTTGGACCAGTATGAAATGAACATGGCTGATGGAAATATAACACCTGACGTTCTAGAACATTTATCTCAAAGAACTACACAGAACCATAGAGATGGTATATTTGGTGAAGAGTTTAGAAAGAAAGTTAGGGAGAGAGAAGGAAGAGAACCTATTGTACATGACCTTGCAAACGAAAGTTTGCAAAATGTCATAAAAACTTACTTTGCAGACAATGAACTGAGAAGGGATGAATATTTAAGAAAAACTCAAATGGACAGTACCAAATGAAATGTTAGTATTGAAAAACATGTTCCTTGACAAAATAAAACCAACTACAGAAATAAACGACGCAAGACTGAAAGATTGGGTAAAAGCTTTCCCATTCACAAAAGATATTGTTGGTAACATGGAAAGAAAACCAGAATGGCTACAAAAACATATATTTGGAAACGAGCATATTCCATATGGACAGGCACTGTTTGAAGAGCTTGAACCAGAAACTCAGGACAGAGTCATGCAAACAATAAGCGACGACTCAAATACAAACTATGACAAAATCTTTCTAGGATATAGGTTACCTGAGATGGGCGACCAGAGCCAAAAGGCAAAAAGGACATGGGAAATTTGCAACATACTAGATGAACATAATGCAAAGATGCAACAACTTCAAGCAGAGGGCAATGAAGGAAAAAGAAGAGTTAAAAACTCAGTCAGGAAGAAAGTAAAGCTTGGTCCACGTGGGTTCTATTATGACATATAAATCCAACTATTCTATATTTTTACTCATATGAAATGTACGCCGCTCAGAATATAACGCCAACAGTTTTGGATGCTATGAATGGAAATGTTTCCGAATGGTATAACGAATGCGACAATGCCATTAGAAGGTCAGAAATAGTTCCTGGAACTTACGAATATACAACTGCTGTTTCTTATGGAAACGTAGGTGAGTTTGGAGAAGGTTCTTCAACAACAGTAGATATTGCTTGCGACAGGTTTCATATAATTTCTATTGACAACTCTTTCTTATACGTGGAACAAGACATTGAAATAAAACCTTCTGCCAAGTTGTCTGACAAGAAAGGTTGCAATGGAATTTTCTATGTCGGATACCAATATGCTCCAGAAGTTTTCATGGGATATAAGATATATTCTAACTCTGACTTAGTTCAAACAGTAACATGGGCAAACTATGAATGGTTCGCTTTGAGAAACTCAGTACAACCACAAGCTAGAGAACAAACAGACCAGTATGCAACTATTGAGAAAATAAGAAGACTTGACCCTAACGTTCCAGGAGTTTATGTTAACCTTTCTGGACAAACTGCAGCAGCAGTAACCAAAGTAAAATTGAAACTTAGAGTTCCTTTGTCATCTTTCCTCATCTTCAGGTTTTTAAGATACTTGCCAAACTGGGCAAAAAATTTCTATCGAACTTACTCCAAGCAAAAATAACTTAGTCATTGCACCAACACAAGACCCATTCACTCTTACAGAAGTAGTGGGAACAAATAAAATGTCATTCGCCGACTTTTGCAAAAACAAAGTTGACTTAGACTTTGGTTTCTCAAACCTCAACACTGAAGTAAACTATTATTTCAATGCTGCTGGAGATGCTTGGGACCCAGTTAAGTTCACATGCGAAAAATTTGAATGCAAGAGAATAGAAAGCAGACTTGCAGTCTATATGTTGGACCCAGATATTTCAAATGCTTTAGCTGCCAAATATATTGCAGTTCCACTTATGTTCCCTATACACCAAATATCTGTCAAAGACTTTGCAGGTGAAGTTGGAAACCAAAGTGCTGACCCAGGTGCAAGAACAGATATTGCTTTAACAACTGCAATGAAACATGCAGATACTATGTTTGTACTGTTCAGACGAACTATAAATGACTATTCTTGCTTCTACAACCCTGGTATTAAATACCATATAAACATAGATGGCAAATATTATCCAAGAGAAGAATATTCTACAGTTGAGGATATGAGGTCATACAACTTGACATTAGATGCTATGAACTTTAACAACAACTTCACAACAACCATTAACCCTGAAATGCAAAGTTCTATTATGCCATATGTGAAAGTATGGACTCATACAGGAGGTCAAAAAACTCAATATACAAATGGAGACCGTTCAAACTTTTGGCTTGGCATTCCATTTGCTGACTCAGAAGACTTTATGGGTGGTATTTCAACTGTTGGTACTGTACAAATACAATATACTGGTGACAGAGACGGTCCAGATGAACTGAGAGCAAAGAAGTTTACAAAACCAATAGCACTTTTCACGGAAGATGCTCTTTTGAAGATTCGTTCGATGAAACCTGCTGGGGCTCCTCAGATTGGCATAACGACAGCTTCCATCGAGCAGATTTTGGCAGCAGGTCAGTAAGTTGTTCTTGAACTGACTTCTCTCCGTCAAATATTGACAGTACGCCAGTTTTGACATAAAATTGTAAGATAAACTTTCCTTTAGAAATATCGGTCAGTTTTGTTGTTATATTTTTGTCTGCTTCAAGAACTTTCACCATCTCGGTTATACCAACTTTCTTTGCTTTATGAAAATATTTTGGTTCAGCAAAGACTGCTATTCTATAACATTTTCCATTGTTTGTGTAAAGAACTACTCTGTCAATGAACTTGTATTGTTTGTGTGTGTAAACTTTGTTTGCTTCAATTCGAAGAGATACTCAAATACGTCCATCTTTTTATTCTAAGTAAAATGTCATTTCCGAAAAATAGAAGCGTGAGTGTTTCAAAAGGTTTAATGGCGGTGGCAGATGTGAAGTTAAATTCACCAACTCAAACAAACAGTCAAAGTGTTGTTGTCAATGTCAAAGAAAGAGATGTTGAAGTGGGGAAACCATACGAAGACGAAGATGGTATAACAATAGTTCCTGTAAAAGAACAACCAACATATCCTGAAGTTAGCAGAGACTTAAGTTCTGTTGCAGATATTCGAAACGACTACCAACAACTTAAAGACAAACTTAAAACTCAGGAGAAGATTTGTCAAGCTTTAGGTATAATGTTAAACTTGGTCGAACACAACCCTGTAAAAGTGAACTCATATGTCATCGCACCTCATGAAATTTTGAAAGAACTATTGAAACTTTTGACAGAGGCAGACGATATAAACATCAAAGAAATAGAACCCGACGTTAGTTGCTGTGGTGTTTCATATAATGTCATTGACAAGATATACGTTATGAAAGGAGGTGAAACGTTGAACTTAAAATATAGTTTCCCAGACGTCATAAAAATATTTGACGACCACAACATTTCATTAAAATTTACTTGCTAAGTAAATGGCAGAAGACATAGTGGTTTATACTATTACGACTAAAAACCCTGAGTCATATAATTCTATAACAACAAACTTACAAAGTCCTCAAGGACGATATTGTAAACTAACTTTAAACACGATGACGACTAAAGCCTGTTTTGCTCTTTTGACACCAGAAGACTTTGTTGTTGTGAATGGTAAAAAATACTTCTTTGAAGATACTTACTCAGATATACCACCAACAGGTTTTGTTGACTTATTTAATACTTTAAGGACGGATGTAACATGTGCTGCAACTAGAGCAGGTTTCATTATGTTTGGATGTCCGACTGAGTTTACTATAAACGATATGAGCTATAATACAAAACTTATATCTGGTTTTTACTACCAACAGTTTCCTATAACAGGAAAAGGTGTCATACAAGGTTTGTCTGTTCCATTGACTTTAAGTACACCTATTTTATATATTGTTTCAAACTTAGGTTCAAAGTGCTATTCGAATGTCGACAGAAACTACTATGACCAAAAGATACTCATGCGTATAAACAACACTTTCTCTGCTGGTTTGCCTATTGTTCATTCGAATGCAGAGTTTTCAGCTTTAGTAAACTCAAACACTTTAGCAAACATAAACTTAACCTTAGTTGACGCAAACTTTGTTCCTGTAAAACTTTTATGTCCTATGTATTTGTCAATGACGGCAGAAAGTTTCGAATTGGAAGATGCAACTGGTGAAAGTATTGTACTACAAGAACAACTTCAACAACAAATAGCTCAAGAACAACAAATGCAACAAATGGAACAAATGCAACAACAAAGTCAAGAATAAAAAAAATATTTTTTTTATTTTTATAAAAATGTACAGAATAGACGTTTCAGATTTTTATGACTTCCAAGCCTTCAGAAATATGTGTCCATTTAGAGACTATAACAAAGCAGTCGAGAATTTGAAACGTTTAGTCATTTATGTTGACTCTGCCCCAGAATGTTATGTCATGAAAGAATGGGATGTTGTCTTTAACAAACCAAGAGCAACCATAGTTTCAGAACAAGAATGTAGACAGAAACTTAAGAAAATAAAAGTCGTACAAGTTGGTATGAAGATGTTAGATGCTTGGGATATCTTATTGTCAAAGTTAGAAGATTTTTCAGTTCGTGGTATAAAGTTCTATACACCATCTCCAAAATTCTATTCTATCTTCACTGGATATAAATATGAACAAGTAGAATGGAAAGAAAATGTTATAGAAGCTTGGTTAGACCATGTCAAAGAAATTATATGCAATGGAAACGAAAGAGTCTATGAGTATATCTTATGTTGGTTTGCAAACATCTTACAATATCCAAGTGCTAAAAATGAAACTGCTCTCATTATAATTGGAAAACAAGGAACTGGTAAGAACACTTTCTTTACAGATATTTTGTGCAAACTGTTAGAGGGCTATTCGAACCCTAATATGACAAACTTAGAAAACATCTGCGGTAAATTTAACTCTTCAATAGAGAATATGAAACTTATAGTATGTAACGAACTTCAAAGTATAGATACAACAAAGGTTTTAAACTCAGATGCTTTGAAGAGTCTTATAACAGACAAAGTTGGAGTTGTTGAAAGAAAATATAAAGACCAAAGAGTTTGTGAAAATGTTGCAAATTTCATTATGGTTTCAAACAACGCCGTTCCGATGAAGTTAGAAAGTTCTGACAGAAGATATGTAGTTGTCAGAACGTCAGATTCTCATATGCAAGATACAGAATATTTTGACGACTTAGCAGAAACTTTGACACCTAACTTTTACAACCACTTGTTCTCATATTTCATGACATTAGATATTTCAAAGTTCAATCCAAGACAAATTCCACATACCGAAGAGAGACAAACATTGTTAGAAGCAAACAAGAGTGTATATGAACTTTATAGATGAGACTAACTTGAGTGTTTAGATGAAAGGTCATTGTACGATGAATATAAACAATATTGTCAAGAATATGGTTATATGGCAGCGTCTAAACGAACATTCTTGGCAAATGTCAAAAATCTTTTAGACATACAGAACGGCGTATATACAAAAAAATTTTTCTGAGTAAATTTAAAAAAAATATTTTTTATCCGATAGAAAAGATGACGAAATATATTTCAGTCAACAAGTACATGACAGAAGTCAAAGAAGAACTAGACCCATTCGCTTATTTGAATGTTTACTTCTACCATTTTGAAAAGTCTACATTTGACAAAGTTTGGAACATCGAACCAGTTAAGTTTGCTATTGTGACTAAAAATGGTGCGAAATTTGAAGACTTAGACATAGAAGGTTTGTTAGCAGTCAAAGAAAATTTTGACAGAAGGTTTTCAAACCTTAAAGAAGGCAAAGCATACAAACTTGTTATACCTTATGAACCAAAGAAAGCAGACGACTATGAATATTATGAGTCTAAGATAGTTGAAGTTCAAGGTAAATTGGGTAAAAAGATTTTAGAGTCTAAGCCAGTGTTTGCTCCTAAAGAGGAAGAGAACATTGACATTGACCCAGAAATGTTAAAAATAAAATTTTATTTTTACATGTCAAATTTCTTTTTCTCTGGCTCTGGTTCAGGTTCAGGTTCTTTCTTCCTTCTACTTTTCTCTTTCTTTCCTTTCTTCTTCTTCTTCTCTGGTGGAGTTATGTCAAATTTGGCGCAACCATATTTATGTAAAAGTTCTTTGTCCTTTAATAGCTCTTCTATTCTGTTTTCTATTTCATCTCAAGAACAGCGCATGTGTCTTCTTTGCATTCTAAGAACTTTTGTTGGACTTCATCTTTCCAAGAGGCGTCATCTCTGTCAACAAGTCTGTTGACAAACTTAAAGACTTCTCTGCCTAATGTTTTATGGTTCTTGTCATATTCCCAGAAACAGAACTTTAGAACAAATTCACCTTTCTTGTTTACACTATGTAAGATTTTATGGTCGACAGATGTTTTGCTGTCAAAAGTTGTCTCGAATATAGATAGCGAAATCGCTAGACATTTTCAAAAAGATAAAAATTTTAATTTTCTAAAAATATGTTAGAAAAAAAGTTTGCTGACATTGACAAGAAATTTGAGAATGTTTTAAACAAGAACAAGAGGAAGTTAGAAAATGCTCAGATAAAGCCTATACATGACAAGTTCTTATTTGCTCAGAATGGTATAACAGGTCTAATTGCACCACCTGGGTCGGGTAAGACTTTCACTTATCTTAAAATGGCTGCACAACAACAAGAACTAGATGAGAAGAACCCATTCTATGAGTTAGTTGTCATTTGTAGTACTTCTGGTCAATTTGACCAAAACCGTAAATTCGTTCAAAGATATTATAAAAAGTCTAAGTTAGTATCTATAAAAGACTCTGATTGTTAGATTGGATAAAGAAGTACCAAAAGAGAGTTTTGAAGTATAATGCTATAAATGAGTATGTCAATTCTAAGTTTAAAAGACCCAAATGAGGAAATGCAGAGAATATTAGAGAAGAAACACTTCAGAAACAAACAGAAAGAGATAGAATACATTTCGAAGAAATTGCAATCTTACGATTGGAAGACTACCCTCACAGATGTCTTCTTATCTTAGATGATTTCGCCTCTCATCCTTTGTTAAAGAACAGAGAACAAGACATGTGTCGAATTCTTAAGAAGCTCAGACACTTTAACATCTCTGTTGTCATTTGTGTACAGACAGCAAAGAGTTTAAGTAAGGATGTTAAAAGAATACTTACTGATATCATACTTTTTCCCTGGATTGTCCGAAGACGATTTCATGGAACTTATGAAAGAGTCCATGGCAGGTAAGTTTGACAGACATGAACTATGGAGAAGTACAAAGTCATACAAGACCCTCATACTTCTTTCAGAATTCACATCTACGCGAACAAAGTTCAAATTGTAAAAAGTCAAGCTTGAAAAATAAATGGTTCATTTACTCTGCTTGTTTGAAGTTGTCAAAATACTCTGTTATTTTTCACTGTTTTCATAGAGTTTTGGCTACCCCACCCCTGTAAAAGTCGGTCTAGAGAAATTCATGAAATTTGGTCATTTTTTTCAGCAAAAATATATTTTAGGGTAGAGGGTATATCTACCCCGTTTTCACCTCATTCTACCCCAGTTATTTTTATAAACGTTTTACATGGTAAACGTTATTTTTTAAATTTTGTGAAAACTCAACGGTTTGACACAAGCCCTAAAATATATTTTACTCAGAATTTTACTCAGAATTCAATAAAAATATATTTTAGGGTAGAAAGGGTAATCTACCCCGTTTTCTACCCTCATTTCTACCCAGTTATTTTATAAGCGTTTTACATGGAAACATTGTGAATTCGTGAAATTCTAAACAGTTTTGTAGCTTCTATTTTTCACGAAGGATATCGAATGTTTCAAATGCCGAAAGTTTCTTTATATTTCTTTGACATCTATCTAGAAGGAATCGTCAGCCTGGTTGGAATAGTTTTTGTTCAGAAATTCAACATGTCCATTTTTATTTCTGCTGGTTTTCTGCTCTTCTTTAAATCGCATAGTCGTTTCCATCTTTCTATCTCTTTGACGGAGTAGTTATATTTCCTCATTGCTGCTTTACATTTAGAACATTGGGGTTCATTTTTGCGTTATATTCTGAAACCTTACCGCTAAACTAAGGCGTCAATTGCTCTCTTTACTCAAACATAGCGGGTTTTTATTGTTTTTCCATACTTCCTCTTCTATCTTTATCTCTTATCTGCCATACACATATGCAACTAACGAAACAAAGTTGTCGTAGGTCTTAAACTCCCAGATTTATATATGTCAGAATTTCTTATATACCATTCGCAATCTTTGTCCATAACTTATTTGGTTGCAATGAAATCCATAGAAACTCATAGTTAACCTTTCGTATGAACTTCTTTATTTCTACTGAGTCAGTTGCTTTGACTTCATTTCTCGAATTCGGAATAGTGATTTTGTTGTTGGATTCATGGCAATTTGGGTAAATGGTCGATGAGGTCCTGCATTCATAAAGATACTGTTCATTGTTTCATCTTTCGCACAACAGTCAAATTACATGTTAAAAGTTCTTGCTTTATCTTCTGGATTTTGTTTCAAAGTATATGAAGAAGGAATGAAGCTTTTCATCTCTACTAACATAGAGTTGGATTCATGACTAAGAGTTTGGTGCTGTTGTTGTGAATCATTGTTGTTTTATCAAAATAAAAATAAAAAAAAAAAAAAAAACCTAACTTTATTTTTTATTTCGGGAAAATCATGAGAGTGTGAGAAAACATGTCGAAGAAGTCTTGACAAAACATTATGAAGAAGTCTTGACAAAACATTTAACGATGAAATTCATGAAAATTCAAGAGGGTAGAAAAGAGGGTAGAAGAAGGTTAGATCTAACCTTCTACCCTAAAATATATTTTTTGGGTCCTTTACACTCATTACGATGAAGAAGTCTTGACAAAACATTTTTTGAAGAAGTCTTGACAAACATTTACGAAGAGTCATGAAAATTCAAGAGGGTAGAAAAGAGGGTAGAAGACAGGTTAGATCTAACCTTCTACCCTAAAATATATTTTTGTGAAAAAAAATGGTTTCATTTACTCACAATATTTTGTACAAAAACGACCCCAAACTTTTAACTTCTTTTCTGCAGCTTCTAATGTTATCTTAGCAGAGTTCATATTCTCTAAATTCTCTCTTTAAATCTTCTTTGTTCCCATTGGTCTAGTTCTGATGGAGACTCTCTATAACCAGAACATTCTCACGTTCATGTTCTATTTGTTTTTCATGCATTTTTCTAACTTCTTCTTCAAACAAAGGTTTTTTGCTTCTCTACTGTATCTTCAAGTTTCTTCTCCATCTAACTTCTCATGAACTTCTCTTGTCTATGGAGTCCATAATTTTTCCAACTCTATACAATATTTTGGAGAAGCCCACAATTGCTATATAGTTTACGAAGTCTTGGGTCTACATACATTCCTCTAACCTGTTTTGATTTCATCCGGAATTCCTGCATGAACTTTGTATAAAAAGCAACCGCGCCGTTTTCCGCGGGTTGGTATATTCTTCAACAAAATGCCTTAAAATACTCTTCCAGGACTTATTTTCAACAACTTTCTAAAGTCTTTCCTAAACTGCTGACACATCTTTGTTGCATTTATATAACCAACCTGTCCTACGTAAGACTTCAATACCGTTATAGGTGCCTTTTGTGAATGTTTCGCCATTAGATTTGTCGTGAACGTTTTTGCTTCGACTGTCATTTCAGTTTTCTTACAATAAAAATAAAAAATATTTTTTGGTGGACGTCGGACATTCGTTTGTGGCTTAAACCGTCGGACCACAACGATAAAAATCTCTGCTCCTAGCAGTAACTGCTACTTGACAGTAGCAGTACTTTTACTGGACAGTAGCAGTACTTTTTTTCGACAGTAGCAGTACTTTTAACTGACAGTAGCAAGTACTTTTTACTGACAGTAGCAGAAGTACTTTTACTGACAGTAGCAGTACTTTATCGTCCGAAAACCCTCTCCAACATTTCCTTTTATTACTGCTCTCTAGCACGTACTTACTGAACGTAGCAGTATTTTACTGTACGTAGCAGTACTTTTACTGTCAGTAGCAGTACTTTTTTCTGACAGTAGCAGTACTTTTACTGACAGTAGGCAGTAACTTTTACTGAACAGTACCAGTCACTTTTACTGACAGTACAGTACTGCTGGAAGCAGTGAAGATTTGTTAATCGTCAACCTAAACAAATGTAACTATATCGTTCTATTTTCTTACTAGGGTCAACACCAAAAGTAACCTATGTAATGAAATTTTTCACTTGCATAAAAGGAAAAAACCTGCGCGCAATCGGGATTTGACCGAGGTCTGTCGACGCCTCTTTAAGAGGTAGCCCATACCACCTGAGCCTATGAGCTCGCTTACACTATTCACAAAAATAATTGTTTATGAGTTTTCTACGATGTTAGAAAAAATGTTATTTCTAATATCTTCACATTCAATAATTTTTCCAGCACTTTTCCGTAGTTAATATAGAAAGACAATTCGCAGTAAAATTTCTTCATCGATATAGTCCTACGCATTTGTAAAGAATATAGTCAACGGTTTTGTATCTGCTACTTTGTTCTTTGTTTTTTTCAACCTGAAAGCATTTTAATATATGGTCTAAAAATATACTGTTTTTAAAAATGGTATGCCATATAGCTTCTTCTGAAATTTGTTAAGAAGTATTTGAACGTATTTTCCATCTGTATCCTAACTAAGCGTTTACATAAGCATAGCCTGCTTAGTAAAATATACTTGTAATTTCCTATAGTTTACGCTGCCGGTAATAAAAGTAGAAAGAGTCTTTGTTTCTTCGCTATAGTAGTAAAATCAAACGGTATGCTTACCAC